AACAGCGAATTTTGTACTACGTTTGCCAAAATAATTATCGAATTTTTTCAAATGATCGGATAACGTTGTTTCAGCAAATTTTTTTCGTTCTTCCTTTGATGTTCCACCTGGACCATAAAAAATTCCTGTTAATGTCATACGAAGGTCATGAGCTTCTTCACATAACATCATCAGTCGTGCTTCTTCATTCAGAGTTTTTCCCATAAGATTTAATTTACGTCCAAGATAATATAAAATAGCTTTTGATTGCGTGATTTTCAAATCACCATCAAATAAATATGGTAAGTTCGGAAAATCTAGAATATAAATAAAAAATGTAAGAAAATAAATAAATAATATTTTACCTAGACCAAGTTTTTCTTTTTCACTAAGCCATTCCTCTTTGCTGTATACTGGACCATCACCTTGTTCATATAGTTTGTCTGTAAACGATGTTTTGGTATAATGTAAAAGCAGACGAGTTGGTTCTACCAAGCCACGAATTGCCCAGTAACCAAGTACTAGTTGATTGTTAGCAGTAGTCAATTGAGACATTTTGTTTTTTTTTTTGAAACAATCTACAATAATTAAAGTATAAAGCCTTGCTAAAAGCCGAAAACCGTACAGGAGAGTATGATGCCTAAACAATAAAAAATGTTATATTAACCACTCTTCCGAGTTGTGAGGCTTTTATTTAGATAAAAAGCAGACAGAAAAAGGAAAAAAAAGTACGATTTAGTCAAAAACGCATGACATTTCTTCGAGCTTTTTCTTTTCTTTATGTCGTACTGTCTACCAAATAAATATGATACCGTGATCTTTTCTTGGTTTTAAAACAACAAGATAAAATGAAAAATGTCATTGGTGTTGCTACATAGAAACAATAAACACATTTCTTAATCCACGATCTAGCTCGTCTAATCTGTATCAGAAGTAAATCTGATCTAATATATTATATACCAGAAGAAGAAGTAGTTTTCTTCAATATATTTATTGACCTACAAGCTGATGCAGATGAGTCATTCTGTCTTTTCTAGAACGATCGATCGATGCACTTGTTCAGATAACTTCATAGCTGGGTCAATTAAAAAGAACATTTTACAGAAAAATGAATTATACGTTTCAACATCATTATATTACCTTTTCATCTCGGTCGTTTTTATTTTGTATATTGTGTTGATTTTATTAAGTAGCTCCATCTTTCGTACATAAAGAAACCCAAAAGCAATACCAAAATAGTGGATGTCAGTGATCTATAGTGATGGCGGCACAGCAGGTAGAGAAGTGTTCGAGACCTCTCGAAATATCTTTGAGTACTACTCTCGCCAGAAAATTTTTAAAGTTGTTCCTAAAAGTGATCCTATAGAAGGGCTGAGGGAGACGAGCTTCAGCCCATCTGACTTAAATATCTGATATCGCTGCTACCCAATCAGACAAAGGGTGTGGGTGTGGGTGTGGGTGTGGGTGTGGGTGTGGGTGTGGGTGTGGGTGTGGGGTGTGGGGGTGGGTGTGGGGTGTGGGTGGGGGGGGGTGGGTGTGGTGTGTCGGTGCCTGAGCGTGGTTGAAAACAGGGTCAACACCAACA